GGAGTCCTGCTGCGCCAGCCGCAAGCCCAGCGTTGCCGAAGCCCGGACCGCCGCCAGGAAGGCCGCCCCTGTCGCGAGCGCCCGCCAGCCCTTCAGCAGGGCCCGCCCGGGCAGCGCCAGGTTCTCCTCCCGTGAGTGCCGGGGCTGGGCGGCCATGGGGCCTGCATGAGGAGCCCTGCTCCGAGGCCGGGTGGTGTGTTGCACGCTCATTGTGCATGGGCGGGGCAGGCCCCTTGGTGGGTGGAAGGCCTCCCGCGTGGCCAGGAGGCCTTGAACTCTCACTGGCCCTGGTCCTGGGGCTCCAGGCTGGGCCCTCGTGCCTGGTGGGGTGTATGTGAAGCCCTGAGCTGGCATTGGGGTGCAGAGGCCTGGGCGGGCACTCCCAAGACTTCTGCCTGTGCTGCCCTGGTGGGAGCCACTATCACAGCTCCTGAATCCACAGAGCCCGGCCTCACGGGAGGGAGGGGTCAGAGCCCTGAGCAGAGCCCCACCCACATCTGGGCCACCGGAGCAGTGAGTCTCAAGTGCTTGGTGCAGAACTGGCCCCCTCTTCGGTGGGCGTCGAGTTGGCCTCTGAGCGGACGGCAGCGGCCAAGGCGCCGTGCCTGCTCCTGCAGCCAGCGCTGCTCCTGCTGGCTCGCCGCACTGCCCTCAGCCTCTCCTGGCCTTTCCCTGCCTGCTGGCCCCCGCACTGACAGGCTCAGCTGCAGGGCTGCGAGGGGTGAACTCGCTGGAGAAAGGCAGGGGACGGGGCCTGTGGGCCCGGACCTGCCCTGCCCTGCTCTTGCCACTCCTGTGGTCACGCGCCCTCGCCCTGCTCCCGTTGCACTGGCCGCACTCAGAGCTGCTCCCGGGTCTCATGGCTGCAGGAGGGTCCCAGACTCTGGTCAGGAGCCATCCCCAGAGCTGGGCCAGTGACCCCAAACCGGCTACAGGAGGGGCCAGTGAAGGCCTTGCCCAGGCTCTACCTTTGCACAGTCCCGCGTGGGACTGTGGCGCATTGCCTCCGTTTCTGGTGCTGCCGTCATCACCAGGGCGTCCCCTCTTTGGGCCTAGTCCGGCAATGCCATTTTTACATGTGCTTGGGCTGCTGCTGCTACTGCTCGGCCCCTGGAGCCCAGCAGTTGTGTGCTCCACCAGAGGGCAATGGGCCCTCCCGCGGCCCGGCCCTCACTCGGAGGGAGCTGCCCTCCTGTGGCCCAGCCCCTGTGCAGAGGAAGCTGCCCTCCTGCGGCCCGGCCCCTGTGCAGAGAGAGCTGCCCTCCCGCGGCCCGGCCCTCACTCGGAGGGAGAGGCCTCCATGGGATGCTGAGCACTGCTTTGTTCTGTTCTTGCCCCGGAACCATCTCACTCACGCAAGACTCGCGTCGCCGGCAGCAGGGCTCAGATTGCACGTCCACGTCCGAAGAGGAGTACGGCTCCCATCATGGCTCCCCCAAACACACACGCTCCCATGCCTCAACAGCCACGCAGACCCCGCGGGCCGGCAGCTCCAGCCGGGCTCGAACCCGGGCCCCTGGCCCCCGGGACACAGATGACGAGGAGGAGCCTGACCCCTACGGTTTCATAGTCCAGACAGCTGAGATTGCTGAGATTGCCAGGTGAGGGGCACCAGCCCACGGCCGACGCCCTGTGCCACCCCAGGCTGAGCGTACCCCAAGTGTAGGGCTGGGCTCATGGCTGCGTATCCCCATGCAGGCTGGCAAATGCTCATTGGGCAGGAAGGTGGGTGTATGAGTGGTGCATGGATGGGCGAGTGGATGAACCGTGACTGAGAAGAGTAGATGCATGGGTGGATGAGAGGGCGGGTATGTGGAGGGATGAGTGGGTGCGCGGATGGATGAGTGAGCGGGTGCACAGATGGATGAGTGAGTGGGTACATGGATGGGTGAGTGTGTGGGTATATGGACGGATGAGTGAGCGGGTGCACAGATGGATGAGTGAGCAGGTGCGCAGATGGATGAGTGAGTGGGTACATGGATGGGTGAGTGTGTGGGTATACGGATGGATGAGTGAGTGGGTACATGGATGGGTGAGTGAGTGGGTGCATGGATGGATGAGTAAGTGGGTACATGGATGGGTGAGTGTGTGGGTATACGGACGGATGAGTGAGTGGGTGCACAGATGGATGAGTGAGCAGGTGCGCAGATGGATGAGTGAGCGGGTGCACGGATGGATGAGTAAGTGGGTACGTGGATGGGTGAGTGTGTGGGTACACAGATGGATGGGTACACGGATGGATGAGTGAGCGGGTGCACGGATGGATGAGTAAGTGGGTACGTGGATGGGTGAGTGTGTGGGTACACAGATGGATGGGTACACGGATGGATGAGTGAGCGGGTGCACGGATGGATGAGTAAGTGGGTACGTGGATGGGTGAGTGTGTGGGTACACAGATGGATGGGTACACGGATGGATGAGTGAGCGGGTGCACGGATGGATGAGTAAGTGGGTACGTGGATGGGTGAGTGTGTGGGTACACAGATGGATGGGTACACGGATGGATGAGTGAGCGGGTGCACGGATGGATGAGTAAGTGGGTACGTGGATGGGTGAGTGTGTGGGTACACAGATGGATGGGTACACGGATGGATGAGTGAGCGGGTGCACGGATGGATGAGTAAGTGGGTACGTGGATGGGTGAGTGTGTGGGTACACAGATGGATGGGTACACGGATGGATGAGTGAGCGGGTACACGGATGGGTGAGTGAGTGGGTGTGTGGATGGATGGGTAAGTGGGTACACGGATGGGTGAGTGGGTGGGTGCACGGATGGATGAGTGAGTGTGTACATGGATGGGAGAGTATGTGGACTTGTGGTTGGTATAGTGGATATGTGGGTGGATGAGTGTACAGGGATGAATGGACGTGGACTTGTGCATGGATTTGTGGGTACATGGAAGTGTGTGGACCTGTGGCGGTATGGCGGGTACGAGGTGCTGTGTACACGGAGATGGCATAGTGGGGACAGGGACAGGCAGACAGGTGGACTCACGACTGGTAGCCCTGGTGGAGCAGGTGCCACATTTTGAGTGAGACCTGCCCAGGAGTGTGGGCCCCAGGGTAAGGGAGGACCTCACACGGCGCCCGGAGATGAGCAGGGGAGCAGCTTTGCCTGAGCGGGGGTGCTGGGCTGGGGAGAACTCCCAGGACAGGTGTTCGTGGCTGGGGGTGCTGACCCTGAGCCTATGAGGCGTTGGAAGGGTGACTCTTGAGAGCCGCTCGTGCTGGGGAAGTCGCCTGTTATGTGAGGAGGACGCTGTGGAAGACAGGGCAGGAGTCCTGGACACCCGAGCAAGCCTGGGGCTCGGGGTGAGGCCCTGCCCTGGTGAGGGGTGGGGAGGGGGCCCTGTGCCTCAGGAGGGCCCAGGACGGGGGCGTCACGACTGCTTCTCAGCTGGGTGAAGTGGGCAGAGGCCGCAGGCAGCGGAGGCACTGAGGCAGGGCACAGGTCTGTCTGGACCCCCTAGGGGTTCGCTCAGACGGTTCGGCCATGTGTCTTCCTCGTGTAGGAAGGGTGGGCCCCGGGCGGGGCCTGGGCTGTAGGAGCAAGGGCAGCCCTGGTGGGCGGAGGCTGTGGGAGGTTCTCCTGACCAGCTGCATCTGGGGAGAGTGCTGAGGGCCCTGGGAGAGCTGAGGGCAGAGACCCTGTCCTCCTAGGACCCAGTGCCGAGAACACCTGAGGTTGAGGCCTACCCCCACAGGCCTCTGCCCCAAGGCCAGGTGGTTCAGAATGCTCCTATGGGGCCACCATGCTGCAGGGCCCGGCCTGGCGTGCTGGCAGGGAGCCGCCTCGTGCCTGTGCTCCCGCTGCAGCCCGAGGGGTCTCGAGTGGGCCCTGGATGGTGCTGGAGTACAGCTCTCCCTGGGCCCCTTGGGGTCTGCCTACCCCATGTTCCTCCCAACCCTACCCTCAGCCTCGGGCCCTACGTCCCTGTTGCTGTGGTCTCAGCCCTCCTCTGCCTCGGTTTCCCTGCCCACAGAGCTGGGCAAGGGGCACTCGTGTGCGATCCTGGGCGGGGTCACACACGTGATGGCGCCCAGCCCTGTGGCTTGTGTGGTAGTCCGTCACTGCTCACCTCCCTGGTGGGACCTGTCCCAGCCCCTGAGTCCTTCCTCAAGGCTTCTGGGACACGGTGGGCCTGCTGCCCGGGGGTGCGTGTCTGCGGGGGTTGGATCGGCCCCGCGGGACCTGCCCTCTGCTGCCGGCTGCAGGCTGAGCCAGACGCTGGTGAAGGACGTGGCCATCCTAGCCCGGGAGATCCACGACGTGGCAGCGGACAGTGAGCTGCCGGGCTCCCCAGGGCCCCCCCACAGCCCTCCCCTCAACAACGTGCCCAGCAGCCCCGCCTCGAGCATCTCTGCCCGGGAGGAGGTGAGCTCGGGCTTCCTGGCGCCCCAAGGTGCACGCGGGCCGGGCTGCTCATTCTGCGTCGAGCCCGCCCCGGGGTTCAGCCTGTGCCCCCTCTGGCCTCGCTCCAGCAGGCCAGAACTACCCCCCAGACTGCCCCTCACCCCTGTCCAGCTGCCTGCTGTGGGGTTGGGGTGTCAGGAGGGACCCGAGATGAGCCAGGAGGAGCAGCCCCGTCCTGCGGCCGCCCCGCCAGGTGGCTGACCCGCCCCCACCCTGCAGCTGGTGCA